GAGGAAGAAAACGCAATCTACCTCATCGCCGCGAAATACGCTGACACCATCGCCAAACGCTTCGGACTCACCCCGACCGCCATCTCCACACCATATCACTACACCGTCGGAAATCACAAGGAAGGCTCCGCTCTACTCAAACCCGCTGGCATACGCGACTACCAACAAAAACTAGGATGTCTGCTCTTCGCAGCCGTCACCTGCCGACCGGATCTCTCGTACTCCGCAAGCCAACTCGCTACCTACCTCAAGAAACCTGAAACAGAACACATGGCGGAGCTCGACTGTGCACTACACTACCTCTTCAGCACCCCGACGACCGGACTAACTTACTACAAGACCGGAACTACGGCACCTAAACTAATCGGCTACGTCGACGCTGATCACGCCGGCGACTCTGACAGCAGGCGCTCGCGCACCGGCTATATCTACCGACTCGAGCCTATTGGGCCCAGCTCATGGCAATCGAGCAAGCAGGAACTAATTGCTCTCTCCTCAGCTGAAACGAAATATATTGCACTCTGCCCAGCCACCAAGGAAGGACTTTACCTTCGCGAACTGCTGGAAGAGGCGAAACTGGCCCAGTTACCCAGCTTCTCTCTGTTCTGCGACAACCAGTCTGCAATCCGCATAGCCAAAAAGAATGTATTTGCGAACATCGCTCTGCGCTATTTCTTTGTGAAGTATGAGATCGAGAAGGGGAGACTCGAGCTGTCTTACTGCGCCATGTCTGAGATGGCAGCTGATTACTTGACCAAGAAGCTCGGAAAGCAGAAGTTCGAATACTGCATGCTGCTGACTGGACAGAGCCACGTCACTAGCAGCGACACTCCAGAAGCGAAGGGGAATGTTGGAAACAAGTAATAAAAACGCTTCTGTTGTGTGTCGAAACACTAAGTCGTAAACGAGGCGAAGCACAGCGAAGCATCGGTGAGTCAACACTTGGAGGTTGAGAAGTGAAAGAAACCGCTGGAGGGTACGAGAAAGTCAAAGGCCAGCGACCTTTGACCTGACAAATACAGCGCGACAGCAAAAACAAACAACTAACTCGTTATTGAGCAGCTGCCTGAGTCGTCACTGTATCGAACCGCAACGGCAACAGTAAAACAGTTAGTAGTTGCATCTTTTCATATTCCTTGTACTCTTATAAAAGCCTTGTATCTTTTTTATTAATCAATCTACTTTGCCCTCACATACTAGCGCAAGGTGGTTCAAAGACTTATCATTATACGCTTCCGCATTCACAACAAGTCCTACCCAGAGTTTAGCCTTGCAAAGATCCTAAGGGCTTTTCTCAGCCCAACAATTACAATGGCATGATCCGTCGATGAAACGGAGACATGTTGCGTACCGCCTATCCTTGCGCAGTTTCAAGAAATCAGACGCACAAGCTAGTGTCAACTGCTGCGTAGTTATGCGGGTGAGGTCACACCAGTTTCTATGGCAAGATAATCGACCGAAGTACCCGAATTTGTGATGAAACGGTGCTAAATATAACAATCAGACGATGGAACGGCAACATGTTGCGTACTGGCCTATCCTTGCACAGTTTTGGGCCATCGAACGCACAAACCAGCGCCACGGGCTGCGTAGGTGTGCGAATGAAGTCAAACCAGTTCCTATGGCAAGATAATTGATTGAAGTGCCTGAATTTGGGAAGAAATGGTGCTAAAAAAAGGAACCACATGATGAAACGACAACATGTTGCGTACTGGCCTATCCTTGCACAGTTTCGGGCCCACTCACGCACAAACAAGCGTCACGTGCTGCGTAGTTCTGGGAATGAGGTCAAACCAGTTCCTAGGGCAAGGCAATCGATAGAAGTACCAGAATGTGTGAAGAAACAGAGCTAAAAAAAACAACCACACGGCGAAAAGGTGACGTGTTGCGCACAGGCCTGACCTTGCATAGTTTCGGGCCATCGTACGCACAAACAAGCTTCACGTGCTGCGTGGTTGTGCAAATGGCATCAAACCAGTTCCTATGGCAACGTAATCGATTGATGTACCAGAACATGTGAAGAAACGGTGCTAAACAAAACAACGAAACGATGAAGCGGTGACGTGTTGCGCACAGGCCTGACCTGACATAGTTTCGGGCCATCGAACGCACAAACAATCGTCACGTGCTACGTAGTTGTGCGAATGAGGTCAAACCAGTTCCTATGGCAAAGGCAATCGATCGAAGCACCAGAATGTGTGAAGAAACGGAGCTAAAAAAAACAACCACACGGCGAAACGGTGACGTGCTGGCAATCGACCGAAGTACCAGAATGTGTTAGAAACGGTTGTTAAAAAAACAACCAAACGATGAAACGGTGACGTGTTGCGCACAGGCCTGACCTTGCATAGAACACGTACAGTATCTGGCCAATCTTGCTATACAGGAAAGCATTCATCATGTTGAGCTGCCTCAGGTGAAGGTCGAGGACGACAACGATGCCGAGGAAGATGCTCAGTGTGACGTACCTGTTCACAACACAACACAATAAGTCGAGTTTACGAGAACTCGTTAACGTCTAGCGTCTCATATACTCGGCGCAGCCGTGACTGCGCGTGCTTATGAGTGAGCCCACACGTACGATTGTGACGTGCTAAGGATTAAGGATTCATTGCAATATGCAACCGCAACCGGACTTTGTTTCAATGTGCACTCTACCATCCAGATCTAAGTGTACAAGTGTTTTGATATATTTTACTTTGATGTCTTTCTAACAAATATATAGGATTAGCGAAACTAGAGAGCTTTTGCAGCCACTCTCCGGGTGGCTGTGGGTGGATGCTTGCGTGTTCGTGCACTGTGCTATTGCTAAGGATCTCGTCATATCATGCAATCGTCGCGCACGCATGTGATTGGCAGATGTCATTGTATGGAAGCTTCTCGTGGCGCTAATCTATGCCGACGTGGCATCGCATCTAACTGCTCTCGCCTTCTGTGTACAGATACATTTCTTGTCGCCAGACACCACGAACAAAGGAGTGTCACACCTGCTAATGAAGCGCCAAGGAGACCATCTTGTTACACGCGTTCTCTCTCACACACGTTGCCCAGAGCTTAGTGACAAATTGATGTCATAATATGCACGCACTCATCCACTGAGACGTCTGGTTTATGCATCCGACCCTGGTCCGCCTCTACGCCTGGGTCGAGGCTCTACATGCTGCATCACTGCCTACAATTCTTACGCCAGCAGGATACGATTCCCAAAATATCTTACGTCTTGCTGCAGAACTGGTGACTATTGATGGCGACCATGGGAAGCTACGTAGAACTTTGACCGCGAATTGGTGCATGATTCTGTCTGTGTGAGAAAGCGCGTTTGACCGAATTGAACCTGTGATGACGGAGCAAGTACGGCATCACCAGACGATCTCCCTGAAACCTTGACGTGGCGCGGAAAGACCAAATTTAACATGTGATGATGGAGCTAGGACGGCGCCACCTACGATCTCGCTGAAGCGTTTGACGCGGCGCGGCAGTGCAACACACATCACAATCCATGCTTTGACGTAATTATAGTGTGTCTGTTGAACCGTTCAGCTCCTCGTGTGCCAGAAGCTAAGTATGTTATGATACCTGTATCTAAAACTCGATTTGTGGTCAAGTGATTCCACATCCTGGATTACAGCTAGCCATGTGCAAAAAAAGGCACTGAGGTGCATGGTGGCCAGTCTGAAATGTTTTGTAGCTGATTTTGTTTATTCCCTGATTTTGGTGTTCATCGAAATTGGAGAAAGCAACATGCCAGTCGCATTAATCTTCATGTGATGAATAATTTACCAACAGGCTCAGATAGGTACCTTTCAACTCTTAACTATATATGTGAAGAGCAAATCAGTGCCTAGTAGTGTACACAACATGTGAAGCACAGATACTTATCGCAACTCACATTTGTTGTTCTAATAGGGGCGCTGCGATATCCAAAGCGCTTCCCGCATCCAAATCGCATTTCATCCAAACTTGTTTCGAATTTCGAATGCATGATGAGATTGGGCGCTTCGAAGCTCCCAAGCCACAACTGTGTTTCCACTCGTATCTCCTATTCCAGTGTTCAAGGTGTGCATCACCCCGAAGACTTCAAACTAGCTAGTACCAGTCTCACAGCCTTGAGACGCCAGGGAATTCGCTGACTGTTGTAATGATATCGCCATGAGCGCTAGAACAAACACGCACTACGGGACGACATTGCAGGCTGTCTTCTACTTCATACTTGTATGTTTTTCAGTCGTTCGTGGCAGGCTTGTTAGTAGAACCATCGGTTATCTGTTCATATGGGAAAATCATGCTAAGCCCACATCCCAGGTTACATGTCTTTATCAGATAATGGCCGGGCACGCATGCGTATTCTGTGGGGAACCATTCGGCGACGAGAAGTGCTAGACAAATCACGAGCGCCTCGGAGGCGGATGCAGTAACAAACGTGCACGTCTCGACGCCCTGCCACGTGCCATCAGTGAAACTTCGGTGCCACCTCCAGCTGAACCCGTGTTTGCCGAGGAGTCGTTGCACCCTCTGCCGACGGATCCTCCTCCCGACACCCGCGACAACCCCTGTGACCCAGGCTTGGTCGACGGAGAAACCTTCCATGAGGCGAATCCGTACTTTGCTGAATATGACGAGCCCAAGGAACCATTCGATACCTGCCTGGAAGTATTCCGTTTTCTGTGTCTGTGCAACAAAGGGATGGGATTGAGTGGTTCGGACATTGCCCTGTTTTTCAAACTGATAAAGCATCCGAAATTCAATCTTAGCGACCTGGCAGACTGGAATGGGAAGCACGCGGTGGACAAGTACGCGTTTGAGAAACTGGGCATTGAAAAGAAGAAGTACCTCATTAAGGAGGTGACCGTTGAAGGATGGCCGACGGAGTTCAAGGTCAAGTACATTGACCCCGTCGTGGTAAGTGTACCTTCGTGTTATGTACCTTTGCTTATGACTTTCCGCACCTAGCACTGGCCACACCTATCACCGTCGGCTTCTCTATCGGTCCACTTCTCTCCATGTCCGATTTTCCATCTGCCCGCTTCACTCTCGTCCGATTCTCTCTCTGTCCGCTTCTCCCTCTACCCGCTTCTCTCCCTGTCCGCTTCTCCCTCTGTCCGCTTCTCTCTCTGTCCAATTCTCTCTCTGTCCGCTGCTCCCTCGACCCGCTTCTCTCCCTGTCCGCTTCTCCCTCCGTCCGCTTCTCTCTCGGTCCGATTCTCTCTCTGTCCGCTTCTTCTCCGTCCCCTTTTTGTCCGTCCGCTTCTCTCACAAACCGCTTCTCCCTCTGTTCGATTCTCGCTCTTCTCACCCTCTGCTCCTCTCACGGTCTGCGCCTCTCATGGTCCGCCCCTCAAACGGTCTGCTTCTCTGTTCCGCTTCTCTCTCTGTCCGCTGCTCCATCTGTCCGCTCACCTCTCGGTCCACTCTGTCTGCTCACCTCTCCGTCCGCTCACCTCTCTGTCCACTCACCTCTCCGTCCGCTCACCTCTCTGTCCGCTCACCTCTCTGTCTGCTCATCTCTCTGTCCGCTCATCTCTCTGTCCGCTCATCCCTCTGTCCGCTCATCTCTCTGTCCGCTCCTCTCTCTGTCCGCTCCTCTTTCTGTCCCCTCCTCTCTCTGTCCGCTCCTCTCGATGTCCGCTTCTCTCTATGTCCGCAACTCTATCTGTCCGCTTCTCTCTCTGTCCGCTCCTCTCTCTGTCCGCTCATCTCTCTGTCCGCTCCTCTCTCTGTCCGCTCCTCTCTCTGTCCGCTCCTCTCTCTGTCCGCTCCTCTCGATGTCCGCTTCTCTCTATGTCCGCAACTCTATCTGTCCGCTTCTCTCTCTGTCCGCTTCTTTCTCTTTCCGCTTCTCTTCCTGTCCGCTTCTCTCTCCATGTCCAAATCATCTGTCTGCTTCACTCTCCCACCGGTTCTCCCTCCGTCCGCTGCTGTATCTTTCCGCTTTTCCCTCTACCCGCTTCGCTCTCTGTCCTCTTATCCCTATGTTCGCTTCTCCCTCCTCTCTCGGTCTGCTCCTCTCACGGTCTGCTCCTCTCACGGTCTGCTCCTCTCACGGTCTGCTCCTCTCACGGTCTGCTCTTATCACGGTCAGCTCCTCTCTCGGTCTTTTCGCTGCGTACTCGTGTTTTTGGCACCGTCCTGGCTCTGGCACGTCTATGGGCCGACCCGAAGAATCATGAGGGGTTTGTACACCGTGCAAGACCCGAGTACGAGAACGAAGAGCGCGTTTACGGGGCAGCAGAGACTGGGACCTTCTGGGAAGAGGCGCAGGTATGCTAACTTGCTATTAGCTACGTATGTTGCTGCGTTGTTCTTTTCTTAGCCCGAGGGCAACATGTGCACTGTTGTTCGACGTGCACCCCGACTTGCGTGCTCTTTTCTATTATGTGAAAATGTTGTGCTGTGCACGTGCTTGCATTACGTCTGCAGGTCGGCCTGTCAGAAGACGAACTGGTGTGTCCATTTATAATCTCAAGTGACGAGACGCTGCTTAGTGGGAACGAGCGTTTGAAGGCGTGGCCCTTGTACTTCACATGCACTAACATCCCCCTACGGCTGCGATGGAAAGATCACGGATGTGTCCTCCTTGCTCTAATACCAACTCCACATCCCGACATGACATCCGCTCAAAAGGTGGAGCTTTTTCAGAAAAGCACTGACATTGTGCTAGGCTTATCGCCGCCGCCGAATGGTAAGCGATAGCCATATCCCCACTCATTGTTTGCTGCAGTGTGGCTCCATCCCTTTCCACATGCTACACATTTTTCCCCCCATTCTGCCCATCCCTTTCCACATGCTACACATTTGTCCCCCCATTCTGCCCATCGAACGCACATGCTACACATTTTCCCCCCCATTCTGCCCATCCCTTTCCACATGCTCCGCATCCCACACCCACAACCGACACCTCTGTTCCCCCCATTCCGCCCATCCCTTTCCGCATGCTGCTTACGCCCCTCCCACATGCTGGCCACGCCCCTCCCACTTGCTGCCCAAGCCATTCCCACATGCTCTGTGCACACGTCATTTTACAACACAGTTCACGGTCTCAGTAATCTCTCTGTCCGCTCCTCACTTCCCATACACCCCATCAGCTCTGTGCCTTTGATTGATCCACACGGGCGAGCATGGACGGTGTGGCCCAAGCTGTATTCATGGGTGACCGACTATCCAGAGGGGTCCCGGGTGTCTTGCACGATGCAACATCAGTCAAACCGTCCTTGTTCACAGTGCTACGTGACACAGCTGAACCTGGCCAACATGGATCCCACCCTGAACCACTGGAGGACGGTAGAAGCACAAAAAGTGGTAGCTGCAGACCCAGACAAGGAATATCGAAGCTCCTATGGGACACACAATATTCCTGTAATTGCAAAAGCCAACCTTCGCCTTGGCGTCCGGGCGATTTTGCTGCTCACTATTCTGTTTTGATTCCTCACGCGACGCCCATTGTAAGCTTTAAATGAGCCTGATTACAACGGTTCAAGTGTTTGGTTGCAGTGTATGCTGTGGAAGTTCAATCGAAACGATGAGGAACGGAAGGGATTTGGCAACCCCTACTTGGCTGTCCTCCCGGATGTTCTACATGCGATTCTTATTGGAGTCTGGCTCTATATCCTAGAGTGCATTGTTCAGGGTGAAGATGTCCAAGAATTCAATAGGTATGTTTGTCGCATGGGCACCTTTTGTTCAACTCTGATAGTACCGTGCTTATATGAGCTTTATGTTCCCACCCTGGTCTCCCCTCGTGCTCCAACTCTTTCCAACCAACGGCTCTAACTCCCCCCCATGCTGCTCATACCATAATTGAACCTGTCGCTGCATTTCCCTTCCCCACATGCCTACTATGGTTTCCCCTCCGTGCGGCACCTCCGTTACCCACATTACTGCTCCCACATTCCTTCACCAAGCCTACCCTGCTTCCCCCCCACGCATCACACCACTTTCCCACGTGATAACCTCGTTTCCCCCCCATGCTGCACCCAATAAAACCCTAATGCTTTACTTGAATGCTGCACCTCCCTGCCCCACAAGCCTACTCATGCTGCCCCTACCGTGATAGGGCCACCACACATGGTTCTCACCCCCTAATCTCACTCAATATGTATATTTCGAAGGAGCGTGTTTCGTATCCCTGCCCATTCAGGCGGCATGGCGTCATGAACACGGACGAGCGCTTCTCTGGTTTCAAACTTCCTCCTGACGGAAACTACTTCAACCTTGGTGCAAACTTCTCCGCTGCCGAACATGCTGGAATGATCAGAGTTAGTAACCGAATTAGCACATGACATTGAATCTGGTTTGTCGTTTCAGCTATGCAAGTTTTAAATTCGCAACCACGCAGGGTGTGTCCCCTGTGCTTTGACCCGACCACGGCTCATTTACTCCCATGGATTTACCCCGTCTTTACGTGTCTGCTCAAGTAGTACTCTTGATCTTGGAAAACATGCGCATAGCTCCAGTGAAGATGGCCGTTTTGCGGACCTTCGTAAAGTGGTACGACCAGTACTTCTGTGCTACCCGATACACTGAAGCCATGCTTCGGCAATACCTGGTCGACACAAAAGAGTAAGCCGACCATTCGTCAGCAGCTCTCCCCACGGCCCCCCTTCCACCTCTTTCCCCCACCTTTTTGAAAACAGCACTACGCCTTGGCTAACTAACAGTTTGTTAATCACACTAATATTGCGCTTTTCGTGCCTGAACTTACCAGGCTGATCCGTGTTCTGAGGACGAATCTGCCACGTACGGGTCACGGCTGGTTACTGGTAAAAGTGCATCAATTGGTGCACTTTCCAGATGCAATACGCAGATTCGGCGCTCCCTCGGAGTACTCTACAGCCACCTGGGAGCATGCCCATGCCCCAACCTGCAAACGACCTTTCCGTTCCTCCAATTATCGAAATTATGATGATGCCATCATGCGCACCACTGCGCTCCGCTCGGCGCTGATCCATCTTCCAAGCGCTTTCTCACAAGCGCCAAAACGCCAGACGGCAATTGTGAAGGTGCGTAATCCACTCCAACGGCCATTTCGGCGCTCCATATTCGTTACCCATCCCCGTCTTGATATCGCACCCATCCCCCCTTGCCTACACCTCATCCTTGCCTTACATGGAGTGTGTATTCCTCCTTTATCCAGCAGAGACTTCTGCAGTGACGCTGTGAACCTCACCTCCCCACATGCTGCACCCCACTTCCCCACATGCAGCACCCCACTTACCCACATGCAGCACCCCACTTCCCCCCATGCATGCAGCACCCCACTTCCCCACATGCAGCACCCCAATTCCCCTCATGCTGCACCCCACTTCACCACATGCAGCACCCCACTTCCTCAAATGCAGCACCCCACTTCCCCACATGCCCATGCAGCATCCCACTTCCCCACATGCAGCACCCCACTTCCCCACATGCAGCACCCCACTTCCCCACATGCAGCACCCCACTTCCCCACATTCTGCACCCCACTTCCCCACATGCTGCACCCCACTTCCCCACATGCAGCACCCCACTTCCCCACATGCTGCACCCCACTTACCCACATGCAGCACCCAACTTACCCACATGCAGCACCCCACTTCCCCAGCAGCACCCCACTTCCCCCCATGCAGCACCCCGCTTACCCAGATGCAGCATCCCACTTCCCCACATGCAGCACCCCACTTCCCCACATGCAGCACCCCACTTCCCCACATGCAGCATCCCACTTCCCCACATGCAGCACCCCACTTCCCCACATGCAGCACCCCACTTACCCACATGCAGCACCCCACTTCCCCACATGCAGCACCCCACTTCCCCCCATGCAGCACCCCACTTACCCACATGCAGCACCCCACTTCCCCACATGCAGCACCCCACTTCCCCCCATGCAGCACCCCGCTTACCCACATGCAGCACCCCACTTCCCCACATGCAGCACCCCACTTCCCCCCATGCAGCAGGCCACTTACCCACATGCAGCACCCCACTTCCCCACATGCAGCACCCCACTTCCCCACATGCAGCACCCCACTTCCCCACATGCAGCACCCCACTTCCCCACATGCAGCACCCCACTTCCCCCCATGCAGCAGGCCACTTACCCACATGCAGCACCCCACTTCCCCACATGCAGCACCCCACTTCCCCACATGCAGCACCCCACTTCCCCACATGCAGGACCCCACTTCCCCCCATGCAGCACCCCACTTCCCCACATGCAGCACCCCACTTACCCACATGCAGCACCCCACTTCCCCACATGCAGCACCCCACTTCCCCACATGCAGCACCCCACTTCCCCCCATGCAGCACCCCACTTCACCACATGCAGCACCCCACTTCCCCACATGCAGCACCCCACTTCCCCACATGCAGCACCCCACTTCCCCCCATGCAGCACCCCACTTACCCACATGCAGCACCCCACTTCCCCACATGCAGCACCCCACTTCCCCACATGCAGCACCCCACTTCCCCACATGCAGCACCCCACTTCCCCACATGCAGCACCCCACTTCCCCACATGCAGCACCCCACTTCCCCACATGCAGCACCCCACTTCCCCACATGCAGCACCCCACTTCCCCCCATGCAGCACCCCACTTCCCCTCATGCAGCACCCCACTTCCCCACATCATTTACATCCCTCACCCACATGCTCCATCCCATTTAACCAGATGCTGCACCTCCCTTCCCCCATTGCTACTCCGCTCCAAACCACTCCTTACACCCATATCAACCACGCCACAGGCTGCGGCACAGGGTCATCCCATCTTAACAGCAACGTCGAGCACCGTCTCCTTGCCCCATGGTCAGGACAAGCTACTAGGGGCGGATGTGTGGCGCAGCTATAAGGAGGTCCATGGCAATTGCATGGACTTTTTCACAACAGCGCTCAACCGGGCTGGGTGGAATGTGGACGAAATACATGTATGTCTGGACCCTATATGTTCCCGCACCCATCCACATGACGATGCCCATATGACCGTGTGTTGGTCTCTAATCCACCATTTTCTTCCAACACCACGTACTTGTAGGTTCATACGGCAGTAGCCCTTCCTGGCAAAGAAGGGTGCGAGGACCACTATGCGAGGGCTACACCTCAATTCCAGAACACACCCTGGTTCTCGTACGTCACGCTGAAAAACCCTGGCTCACAGACGGGCGGTGCTGCCACGGCCAGCGTGGTGTACGCGCAGTTGTTAATGCTATTTCACGTGAATACGCCAACGGGAGGACGCCGACATGAGATGCACCCATTGGCGTATGTCAGATTGCTAGAGGAGCGAGGACTGGACGACGAAACCAGCCTTAAGCTCGGTACAGGTCGTCAAGATATCACGTACAAGGTAGTTCACCTGCAGAGCCTTGTGAGGGCAGAGCATATTATCACATACTTCACCCGACCTACATTGAAGCTATTGAATAGGTATGCCTGGTAAAGTGATATTGCCATAGAATTGTTGAAGAAACCTTGATGGTAACATAGTGGCCTGTCTCTCTAACCTCCCTCAAATCTAACGTGTCAGACTAATGCAATCAAAGTGTTTGGCAATCCGACATTGACTATAAAATATAGCTCTCCAGCTCGCACTTGTACACCTATTTGCACTTAACACAAGGTAGATTCACAACCTCGCGTCTCAAAATCTGGACAATGTATCTGTTCAACATGGGCTGATTCCATCCCTAGCATATAAAACCCTATGTCCTGAGCCCCTTCACTAAATGCCACCGTATATTTATCGGACCTGTATGGTAATGTTCCACCACCCCTAATGGTTTCCTTGGTGACTAAGCAACCATGATACAGTCATGACTGTGTATGTTCACAAACCGGATGCAACAATCAAGCATAATATATATGGCTAGCAGTGCTATTGTTGCCATGGCGAAACAGGGCACCCTGGTACATCACACAGGGTGGTTCCAACGTCTGCACGATTTGTAACATTGTTGCGTCCATCTGGTGGGCACGTGCATTATAAGGGTCGTGCCTTATAGCGATGATGGAAGGTAGACATGTTGGTTTGAATAGTATCGCATGGCTAAGCCCTAAGGTTAGGGCTGAGCGAGATGTTCCGTAGATTTTCATGCCGTGTAGTATTTGTTGCCATGGTTTTTACAGATTGTTGAGACCTGTACTTTGTGAAAATGAGTCTGCTTACCTTGTCGAGATCCTAACATGTACGTAGATTGTTCTTTAAAGTTGAGGAGATTAAAGCGTGAGATGTGAGGCATGTGCTATGACCGGTGTTGTGTCTACTTTATCGGTTTGTCTATCGTGGTATGTTGATTCAACTGTTAGCCCGACATCCACCAGATATGTAGCACTCAAATCGATTTTGGCTCGTCCAGGTTCGAGTAGTATGTATATATGTTGCGCATAGTACTACCGTTAAGGTAATCAGGGTGGCTGAAATGGTCCATCCAGTAAGGCAAACAGCCAAAATGCAAGTCAACCAGAAAGAACTACACGTGTGTGACAACTCACAATGACAATACTACTCCTACGAACGCGGTAAAGGCCCACAATGATAAGGTTCGAGTTCAGTTATAGTCTGCTTTGCAAACTGTACATGATACAAAGATCAACCATCTGACGATCTACTGGGACAAGGCCAAGCTATGTATAGACTCTATGATATCTCAAGGCTAGGGAGCCATGATGAATATAACATCGGTTTTGGCCTATGTGGTTTACCACAAGAACCATGTGTGCTTGAACACGCTGCTCCAACCCACTGAGTCAGCAAATACCGCATACTGTGGTATTAAGTTGTGCCCTCTAATCTAGGCTCCTTGTGCAGCAGGATGGCGGCTCTGTTATCAGTGAACATGAGTGGGTGGAGAGATGAGGGAGCCCTTTGTCCGTGCGGGAAAATTACTTCTAGCGACCATTGGAGCAGCTGCTCGTCGCATCACACATGGACGAGCTATTGATAAAGCCCAATATTGACGACCACGAGACTACGGTGGATCTATGATCAAAGCAGCAGCTATGAGAAGAACTGAGAGCCTTACTAACGTCTGCCCATGTCACATTCCACTAAACACTAGACCTGATATGACTGCTGTCCTTTATGCATGATTCCATGGCTGACATACTATCGAGATAACACAATATTGTCTTAGAGGCTAATGCAATGGTCGATGTCCTTGCTTCACAGATCAGCGAGGGCGTTTGTTGAAGGAAAATGCAAAAAGCTTGTCTTTCTGCCGATCATACTTAATACACCACAGTCTTCTTGGTAGTATTGTTGTGCCTTTTCTGAGAGGTTGCTAACACCCTCGCACATTTGTTTGCACAGCGGAACCGTGGCCATTAAGTAACTATGAAGCAGGATTTAACCGTTCCTGGGTTGGCCTATGCAATACGCGGTGCTATACGCGATACAGCTCTGGATGATGGCCATCGTTTGCAACTTTATTGAAAGAAATCTGGACAGGTTTGGTGCCATTCGCAGTAGTTAGTAGGAAGCAGTGGTGTTTGAAACAACATAGCAGGGAATTTCTTGCAAGGATAGGCCTCTGCAATACGTGGTGTCATTTTGAGGTGGGGTTGCCATTTGAACCAATGTTTCAGCTGATCATTCTTTCACTAACTATAATGCATGGATGCTGGACAAACTGGAGGATCATGGACAACATCCAGTAGGAAGATCTGTTGTGTCACACCAGAAGGCCGAGTAAACCCTGCTTGGATCTGTTGTGCGACATGAGGTGCCATCTCGACGATCGTTTGCCATCCTACGCAATGTTTTTCCTAATAATTCGTTCATTCACGGTGTCGAAAGGATGCCATTCACAGCATCAGGTACGAATGTATAGTGTTTCTTATAGTCGAACAGATGAAGCCGTGCGAGGGTAGGCCTGACGATACGTGGTATCATTTCGATGCCCGTTCATCATTTTAAATGAGGTTTTTTCCTTATCATCCATTCACATAGAATATTGCTCAGAAGTTGGACAGTATTTGTGCCCTTCTCAACAGCTGGTATGAAGGTGTGGTGACTCTAAAGGATTATGCTGACAATAGGACCCAAACAACCACACTTTGCTGTATCAACATTCGTTTGTCATTTTAAAGGTGGGGTTTCTTAATAGTTTAGATGTCTAGGATATTGCAGGAATGACAGAGAGGTTTGGTGCCAGTCACAACACCTGTTAGGAAGTTATGGTGTTGATGTACTGGCTCGTCCATAAAACACTTGCGCAGCCGAGGACGAAGATTTACGCAGTCGTGCTACTGCACGACTGTTGGTCGGGTGCGTCGCCGACATCTGCGTAGGCGACCAGAAACAGAGTCACCGACCCGCAGCCCAACTCGAGGGCGACGTCGCGCGTGCAACCAAGTAGGCGAGGCAGAGGTCGCCATCACCTAAACCCTGGTTGTCCAGCACATTCAAGCGGGATCCCAACTCAGTGCACGCAGGGGCGACGTCCGGCCGAGCCATGGTGGCGGCGAACTACAGCGAGCCGACTTTATGATAGTACTCCTCCTCATCACGAGGCTAGAAGTCTTCGACGTCGAACGTCAACTCGGTGTAGGCGTTGACGGAAACCGGCGTCTTCGGACGCGGACGAGACCGCCCCTTGCCGATGAAGCGCCTGTTCACCTTGTTGACTTAGGACTACTGGTAGAGCCACAGCTTCCGTGCTGGTCGGTCGCGCTCAATCTCCAGGCCCACCGGGTTGATCTCGCACAGCACAAAGATGCTCTGCAGCAGCTCGCACAACTTCTTTAGCATTACGGATCTGATGCTAACGGCTTGAAGGTCGTTGATGTAGACGAGCACCCAACATGCAACTTAGTCGTCGCCGACCTTGAAGTAGGAGGCTTTGTCGACCGGGCTCTTGCTACAGTCGACGCCGGTCAACACGGTGTTCACCGAGAAAAACCATGGCAGCAAGATCTGCATAAGTCCATATAAGCTCTTTAAAAGTTTGCGCGCACAGTGGGTGTAGTAGAACGACTGGTCCGTTTATAGAATGCGGTCCAGCTTGCTCTGTGGGAAGGCGTTCTTCATGTCGAGCTGCATCATGTGCAATTCAAAGACAACGATGATAGAGAGGATAATTTTGAGCGTGGCATAGCTACTGACCGGCGCATACGTCTCGTCGTAGACGCCACCGCAGACCTAGGTGAAGCCTCTCACCACCAGACGCGCCTTCTCGCAGTGACCGTATTGTCAATATGGTACTTCGCCGTAAGCTCCCAGCGGTTCTCCATGACGTTGACGCCGTGTGGTTGAGGCACTCGCTGGTGTGTGCCATTGGCGAGGGGACTTTGTATCTCCTTGTCCATTGCCATTTTCAATGCCTTGCCCTTCCAGCTTGCCAGCGCCTCCTTGACGGTCATCGTTGAGATGTCCCAACTTCGTTCACTATCGGCGTATACGTTCGGATCCAGCTTATGCTGTGCAACGTCTGCATGAACGCCTTCGAGAATCGTGTTGGCAAATGCCGGGCGGACGTTAGGGCGAGTGGAATGTCGCACCGCCGGCTTGTCAACCGTGACTTCAACCACGTCGCTCAATAAGCTGTCACTCCACGCCTCCCGCGTCGACGGCTCCCCTTTTTTCGTCGCTAGCTTTGTGAACGACTTTGACAATGGCGCTCGACGAGCCATAGCCGAGCTCCTCCCTTGAAGTCGGCTCCCTTCTCGTCCGCTTCTCTGCCGACTACTCCCGTGTCATCGCGTGCCTTTGTCACCGACTTGCTTGACTTGGACCATTTACGACGGCCTCCGATGATGCCGCTGCGTGGCCGACGACGCACCAATGCTCCATCCGGTGTCGGTGGCCGACGTATATTCAGACTTAGGCAAGTAAACGTTTATGTAAGGACTAGA